CGTCGACGAACTCTGATTGATTGGGTGAGATCAGAGATTTATTGTAAACTGAAAGAGTGAAAACGAAGCTCTCTTTTAAGAAGTGAAGTTGAACGAATGCAAAGGGTACCAATTCATTATAGTGATGGTTCTTTTTCCAAAAGTTACATTTATATGGGAGGCTGGGTTATATGCATAGTGAAAGCCAGAGGCTATCAGGGTCTACCATTTTATAGTTGATGGGGAATAAAAACTCTTTAAAACCATTGGTTGTCTGTGCCATTTTTATAAACGGATGATTTTTGAAAATTTAAACTGATTTTTGCACTGTTGCCATGGAGATGCAATTAAATTTAGAAACTATAAATCTGTAGATCTAATATGTTTGTTTGCGAAATGCCCCAAGAGCTATGTTAACACACAAGTTATTTAGTTACAGTAATGTATAGTGACAACTGGAAAAACAAATATGTTACAAGAAATTACTTTATGTAGAATCCTTGTAAATGTTTGAATATGAAAAATACATGAATGTACTTGCATTGCAAAATTATCACAAAATCATGTCTTTATTGTCATCAACTGTGATAATTTATCATGATAACGGCTTGCATTTGTCATAAAACAAAGATTAATAAAACATTCAAGTAAAGTTAGATATCTTGATAATTTTTTTATTTTATTAGTAAGGATACTTTTATCTGAGTATCATTGATAAATATGAATGTTGTACTATTTTTAAGTGTTAAAGTGGCAGTACATATTCTCTTTATATCCTGTTTCTAGTTAAGTACGGATTATTAGATTTATTTAGCAAGGGCATGGAAAATTTAATATGTTTATAAGTCTACAAGACAATCACGAAGATCTAAAGTCTAATAAACATAGCTTTTATGAAATGTAAATAGTATTAACATTTTCATGACTTGTATTTTTCTGAATTGTGTGATTATGAAATATACAACATTAGTTATATATAATAATAAAAGAATAAAGCAGCTTTATAATAATACAGTAACATCTGTGCTTTTCAATAAACGGCTCTTTAGAAAATCTGAACTATGTGCTATAGGTGCCTTGTTCTCTGAAAACAAACAAGCTCAGGGCTGCGTACCAAAGATCAAGTGTATATTTTGGGGATCTAGAAACTCCAGGTCATATCACTTTCGATAGCATCCCCATCAGGAATCGGTGTGAATCTAGAAACATTTCAATACAATTTAAATGTGTGCATTGAGATTATAAAAGTGTTTAGCTTGCCAAGTTTATCAATAAAACCTACTTGATAAATGTGCTTTGCGGCTTATACTGTTTATAGTAGGCCCAGCGTGGATAATTTGGCATTTTGAAGTTTTTACAAGGGGATATAATACCGCCCGCAGAGAAAATGTATATGTTCAATTTGAATTTTACGTTCTTTGTTAGCGAAAAGTAGTTGGAAGTAGTATGGCACATGGTCCCCTGTCTGAATACAATTATAATTTGATACCCTCTTTCATGAACAGAAACCAGATTTGAAGATCCATATTCTGTGATTTTATCTTTTCTTTTGTGCCCTGTTTTTGAGGAATAAAAGACACATAAAAGATCCGGTGCTGTCTTTTGAACGTGCCTATCGCCAGAACTAGGCTGCCACGCCCTTTTGATTTATAACAAACACAATAAAAATTTGCGCTTTTGATTAAATAGGTTAGGTTTCTTTAACGAGGTTTTAGAGGGTCTTTACATAATCACTAACGGTTTAACAAAGGGACGTATTGTCTGCTCCTTTAATTGGAACAATTTTAAGCGTTGTATTTCATTGTCGGAAAGAATTATGGATAGCGGCTTCTCGAAGCCTTAGAAATCAATATTAATACAGACTCCAGATGAGCGAAAGCCTACTATGTCGTAATTACGGAAACAATGCAAAAATCGTGGCAATCAATTGAGGCAATTTTAACAGTTAATTTCATATTCCGCTCAATGTTTTTATCCTTACTCATTAGGCGTTTTCCATTACATACTGTCCTGTTATAAATTAATCACATATTGTAATATGCACATTTTATAAATTAACTGAATGCGATTATTAGACATTATTTGGAAATCTTTGCCTCTAGAAAAGTTTTAAATTGTAACCAGGGTCAGGATGATCAAAATCATTATGATAACATCTAATCATATCTCCGTTCTTACATCATACTAACTGTTAGAAATGACCACGATAATGTAACTTCAAGAATTAAGTTTAGGGAGGTATTCGTGGACCTTACTCTAAATCCATTGTAGCCTCTGGGACTTCTTTCTGATGCATGCTTTCAACTAGAGCAATGAGTGTATATATTGACAATAGATTATAGATATTTTTCGAGGAGTATGTTAGTGTTAATTAAAGTGCATGTCTACCTGTAACAGTCACTAATCAATATAAATATTTAATCCCATTCATTGATTGGTATTTAGCTTGTATGGTAGCGTCACACGCAGCAAATGCTGCGAGATTTCCAATATGCTATTGTTATGATAACAGCGTTAAGACTGACTTTAAATATACGGTAGACAAAGAGAAATCTTCTTGTCATTATTGGACTTCAACAACACTTGTCATTTACAGATCGGGTTCATTTGTAAAATTTATATTAGGGAATGTCCGCAGTTTTTATCAATTTCATTTCTTACGCGTTAGAAGCAAGTGAGGACAATTTTCTCGAAATTAAGCCATTTTTGAGAATATTCATACAAAATTAGAAGAAATCTAACGATTTGTTCTAAGAATTCATCAAAAATTTTGTATTTATAAATTCATTGAATCTTTTTTGAGTCTAATAATCTCCATCTTCATTCACTTTGGCTACATACAGAGTAAAAACTGAGATTGGAAGATGACTAATCTTAGCATCCTCCCCATGTCATTGAAATCCCCCCATGTCATTGAAGATCCCCATCCCCCCATGTCATTGAACACCCCCCCCCATATCATTGAACATCCTCCATGTCATTGAACATCTCTCATGTCATTGAACATCCCCCCATATCATTGAACATCCCCCCATGTCATTGAACATCCCCCATGTCATTGAACATCCCCCATGTCATTGAACATCCAGTGCATCATGAGTCACCTCAGCATTTGCACTTTTATTGTTGAACATGATGAAGTTATTCTCGTCTCATAGGGTGACAAGTACCATCAAGAAATCAGAAACACAGAAATTACCATTGTAAATGACCATTAACTTAGAGAGAATACTGAGTGTAATGTGTTGTCTGCCCTGATGTCAAGAGAATCTCACCCTTTAACACTTATGAAATGGATATTCACCTGATCATCTTGTCTTACAAGCACTCAAGGATGAAAATGACATGCGTAATGCTTTTAAAAAGAGGCGTTATCTCTTTTTTTGTTTTGATTGCTCATGAAAAATTGCACTGAACATAATTTAGTATGATGTTCCATTGGGAAAAGATGCCCTCAGGATCAGAACCTAGTAATTTTAGGTTAATACAAAATCAAACTACAAAGAATTTTTTGTGCTTGATAATACCCCTCCCCCGACTGAAAACCCCAAAAAATTTGGCAATCGCACCCCCCACCCCCCTGACTGAAATGTGGCTACCCCCTGCCTTGAATATTCGAACACCTCTCTAATCTGAACACCTCTCAATGTGAACACTATCTCCCATTAACTCACATATTTAAAAAACCTTGAAATGTGAACACCTGCTAATCTGAGTACTTATGGATAGTCCCAGTAACATTTGGATTATGTGATTAAGAAAAGGTACATTCTGATTAATCTGCAGTCACTCTTTACCCAATGCTTGAATTATTCCATGGGATAATATAGGTAGGAAAAAGAAAACAGTAGGTTTATTAACCTGCTGTCTGCTATACGGGAGAGGAGAGGAGAGAAGCCTACCATCTCATTAACATTTGCTGCTGGGAAACTAGAAAGGATAATTAACTTGTTACTTATATTAATCGAGAAATACCCTGATTGAATGATTGTCGGAGTGATTGTAGGAGATCTAGTAATATGAAGGGGAATGGATAATGGTCAGAAGGCAAGAGTACGAGTTAACCTGTATCTCAAAAACAGTTTTTTCTGATTTGACAGAGTCCCTCATTACCTAGCCTAGGTACAAGCCCTTGTGAGTCCCCCTCCCACAAATACTGTGTTGTATTGGTGAAGTGGATGAGGTCTTCAAGTAAGACTACTCTATCTAAAAATTGTGAGACTTTTTGTACTTAAGAATGAACAGGCTTTGGATACTATAGTGACATTTTTTAACTTTCACTATTTCTGTTTCAGTCATTCAAAGCCTTGGCAACAGGCTCTGAAGTGGAAAATCTGAGTGAACCTCTGTGTTGTACCAGATGCTTGATCTATTGGGGTTACAACGCAAGGTACAATTACACATCAGCAACCTAGCCTGTTACAGCTGCTTCACAGCTATGTAAGTATGCTCTTTACCTTCATAATAGGAATGGATCTGAATATTGACAAGGAGGGGTGCCTAAAACACTAGTCTAGCTACAAGCCCATGTGATCCCCCTCCCACTAATTGACTCATCCTCCGATCACAGGGCTTCAAAATCCAGAATATCTTCTTTCCTACACAGGCAAAAAACTTCTCACACAGTGAGATGTGTAGTAGGGGGAGGGGTGGTGTCACCTTGTAGTTAGACTATAAGGCGACTACTAAAACACCCTTTTAAAATAAGGTCTACATGTATTTGTTTTTCTGAAATTCAGGCACATGTTTCTCAAGAAACAATTTTAATGCAATATAGCCATTTTGAATGAAGATTATACCTGAGCTGAAAAATCCCTATTTCGAGCCAAATTGAAAAAGTATGGTCCCTGTGCAATACAGTGAAACATGGTTGTCTCAAGTGATTACTTGGTAAAGGTGTTTATATTGGAAGTAGTTCACTTTTAGAGGCTAAAAATCAAATATTGTTTTAATTGTGATGTTATTCGAGGAGGTATTGACCTAAAGAACTTTGATGTATGGTTTCCTCTTTAAACCGAGATATATTTTTTCTATGGCAAAATAAAACGACAAAAAGTATTCCTCAATCGTATTTTCTCTGAATTCATTCGAATCATGTACTGCTAGACTAGACATGTTGACAGACATTCTAATGATCACAGAGATATAGGGTTGAAAGATGGTGAATTGATTTGAGCTTCTGTTTGTTTTACCCTGTCTGTTCCTCTCATTCAGAATCAGGAACATTATAAGTATGTTTTTTACATATTGTTGTTTCTTACATATCAAGTCCTTTGGTAAAGACAAGTCAGGGAATATAGACTTGGTAATGGTGAAGCAAACCATAGTCATAATGTATGTGAACACCACCAACTATATATTCACCTTTATCAAGTAGCTTTTTTCATTCAGTGTAAATTGGTGCTTTTTGTATTAGTATTAGGCACTGGCAGATCTGGGGGTGGGGGAATAGGGCTGGGGGAATGGGGCTGGGTTTCTAATTAGGGGATACATCAAGTAGCTGTTGCATGATTTCAGGAAATTGATTTTGAGATGTTACTTAATGGGCTTCATCTGGATATTGATTATATAGGCTTTTGAATGGACAGTGCAAATATTGTAACTTGAGTTAGAGAGAGGAAAATGCTACATGCATGTTTCCATTTCATAAATTCAATAATTGTTATTGTAGCAAATATGCATATCATTACAACCTATTACATTAATCAGGGAAACTGTTAACAAACTACATATCTATTACATCGTAGGAAGGTCAGTTATCCTTTATTAGTCTGTTATTACATTATGGCTTTGTTTGTAGCCATTTGTACACCTTGCAGAAAAGTATAACACGAATATGTAGATTATGGTATCCTGAGAGTGGAGAGGTGTGTATACAATGCCTTTGATCTTGCTTTACATTAATACGAACTGATGAATTGAGAACTGCAATCATAGTATATTTAATCAGTATAGATCCTATTTCCCAATAGAACTCAGGGTATATATTCTCTTGCAAAATATCTAAAATAAGAAACACCCAAAATTTAGAATCTGGGTCTTTTGAGAAAAATGAGACGTATTTTATAAGAAACTGGGTCCAAATAGGCTACATTTTTAGCCTCCTTGTTAATTTTTAATTTCCAAGACAGTTCATTACCCCTGTTGTCTATTAGAAATTGTTTAAGGAAATATTATTGGTTGCTAGAGTGCATCTGAGTCAGATATCATGAGATCATGTTTATTCAATAAGAAATCAATCGTTAAAATATCAGAATGTAATCTTTGAGTGTAAGAGGACCCTATGGAGTCATGAAACTGGACCCCATGGGCTCATGTAACTGGACCCCATGGGCTCATGTAACTGGACCTTATGGACCATTTTGTCCAGCTGTGTTCTAAGATAACATGCAACATTGTCATGCAACATATGTTAATTGTCAGTCAAATAGCCTAAACCTAATTGATGCGATACATTATTTTATTTTCCATGGTTATGACATTTAGATATGTAATAACAATGATCTATCACTTAATTCATCCTCATAAAATGCAACAAATGACCTAACCAGCCATTTAGGTAACAAACTGGCATTACTGGGTGTTATTTTTCAATTTGAGCCTATTTTTAAGAAGGTGGGCCCACATATCCCAAAATTTTTGAAAGTCCGGTTCCCTTGATTTCCAGGTCTGCCCCTTTGAAATGCAGGTATAGTAAAACCTGTATATCCAAACACCATTTTTACACCTCTCAATGTGAACACCTTTTCTCAGTCCCAATTTTACTAAGAAACCTTGGAATGTGAACACCTTCTCATGCAAACACTTTTGGGTGTTCCTAGTGGCATTTACATGAGGCAGATTTAACTAACTGTATGAAAATTATTACCCTGCGTGCAGAGTCTAGTTAAACTACACTCTGCCTAGTAGAGACCATATTACAGTTTAGTAGCCCCGCCCCAACGACGGGTACCGGTGACAGTTTGGGTAATAAATCACTTCTGACCTACGCGCTGACCTTTCTTCCACCAGTCAGCGAGCTTGAAGAAACATACGCCAAATGCGTTCTAGTTAAATATGCGCATGTCATTGGTCAATTCTGGTCTCAACGATGACGTTAGAAGGGATGACCATATATAGAACGTCGGTCAAATTTGGCCGACGAACACTGATTGGCGCGGTGAGTTCACAGGTTTATTCTAGTTTGAAAGAGTGAAGACGAAGCTCTATTTTAAGAAGTGAAGTCAAACGAATGCAAAGGGTAGAAAATTATACTTGTGATGGAGGTTCTGACTGTTTATAGAAGGTTGTCTTGTAATTTGCAGCTCTCGTTTGATCAGAGTCAGCCTTTGCTTATTTGCTTAGTAAATTGATGAAATTATTCTACAAATAGTATTACGCAGTTTGTCATTTCAGAATTGATCATTATGGTTAAGTGCTACGATTATTGTCCCACTCACTTTTTTACTATCTGAACCTATATTATGATATTATCTTACACAAGAGCTCAATAAGAGAGTTTAACATACTTATCTTGAGAGGAAACATATCCTTCTATCAGTTATTAGAAGCAGTGTTCTCTCCAGGATTTTTTCACTAGTTGGTGCAAAATTCTTAATTTCACAATTTGGTCAAAATATGCCTAATTTTCATGATTTTCTCATTTTCAAGTGGGTGCAAGTAGATTCTTAAATGGGTGCAAGCCTATTTTTTAAATCTCAAGTGGGTGCAGCGCCTACTTGCTTTAATGCTGTGGACATCACTGACTTGGTATATTGATCGTTTGAAAACAGAACGATATGAATCAGAATCCATCTAGACTTTTTAGTTTGTATTTACAAATAAAGACCTGAATGGGGTGCAAACTCCCACCAAAGGCCATAAAAGATGCATGTAAAAATGTAATTGTGTAAGTGAATTGCAAACTAAATGCAACATGACAAACTGACAACAGGATGCTATATCTAACCAGATACAATATCTGTTATGAAATTGTTTTCACTATGAGTTACAGTAGACAGATGGAAAACACAACTCTACAAGAGTTAAACAGAAAAAAAAACTGCATGCCTTGGAACTTTGGGGGTTGGTAAGACCTGAATAAAGAAATAAATTTTCTGAGTTAATAGAAATATCCTGATCAGACAGACAGCCGGGTATATTCATATGCAGTTTCTCTTAGATGGATTATATTTGTATATTTATATATTTTTGATTATGTTTGTAAACACCTCAAATATGGCAGGTGTGTTATGAAATAAACACCTCAATATGGCTACCCAAAGACAACTTGTCATATCCAAAGATCAAATCTTTGATATGCAGGTTAGAATACATTTAACAGTTCTTTTCTATTGATCAAAACAAAACGATTCAGGCCCTTTGCCAGCTTTTGCCAAGGGAGGTTCACTTTTGACAATTTTGATTCAGTAATGGCCAAAATCACTTAAAAAGTACTCAGAATGGTGAAAAACTGCATGATTTTAAAAGAATTTTTGGCCAGGGGAGGGGGGTATTCAGTCAAACCCATCAAACTCCCCCTGGCTATGGGCCTGGGATGAAGATCAGAATAGGTAGAACATTATTCACTTCAGCTTAACTAAAGGTAATATATTTCTTAGTTTTGCATATATCTTCAGTTTCCCTACTTTAATGTTTATATATCTTATACTGTACTTAAAGTTGAGATTCCCCTCGCAATAGATTTGAAGTGTATAGCCAATGAGGATTTAAAGTGTTTATGTGTTAGAAAGGGGGGGGTAGTTTGACAATTACTATTATTTTCTGAAATACAAGACCCAGATAACCGAACATCTTGCACATGGAGAATTCATCAATTTATCATCTATCAATAGTATTAACTTGGGTTATAGAACAAGTTACTTTCCAAGATTGTAGCTCTGGGTTTATGCTTTAATCTCAGCTGAAGAATGTAAATCAATTACTTCCTGATTGCGCATCGCAGAATATCACAGTAGTCATGTATTAGAATAGAAAATAGAGTAGAAAAAAGAGGAGAAAAGAGTAGAAAAAAGAAAAGAGTGGAAAAAAGTGAAATTAGCAAGGAATGAAGTGAACACTCTAAATTGTGTGGAAAATCAAGAAAACCAGGTAGCTCAGTTAAAGATAAGAGAGTAAATATGGAAAATGTTTGAGCAAAGGGGGAAATATATCATCACAGGTATTTTCCCTGTAAAAACATCTAATACCCTGGCCTGTGATGGTTTTCTTGAAACAATCAAATGCTCTTAAGATTAATTAATACTGATATTCTTGTAGCTACTCTGAATTGGATTAAAGTTCATTCACAAAATATTTTTAAAACGTATAGATGTTGAAATGGGTTGAAATGCTCAGAAAATGTTTCTTCTCAATGCTCTGTTTCTGTCTGTAAGTTACCTCTTTATTACTTGCACATGGCTACAGTCTCCACTTCTACTTTAAAAAGAGATTGTCTTGATTTGTTTCCTCATAATTTGTCTAATACTGTAGGGGACTAAATAAAGGAGGTATAGGGGGCCGGGGAGGACTGAATAAATGAGGGATAGGGGGAGGACTGAATAAAGCAGGGATAGGGGGAGGACTGAATAAAGGAGGGATAGGGGGAGGACTGAATAAAGCAGGGATAGGGGGAGGACTGAATAAAGGAGGGATAGGGGGAGGACTGAATAAAGGAGGATAATGCAGATACAGACAATAGGCACAACAGGCAATCTTTAAAAGAGAGCTTCATCTACGTTTGTAAGGCTGTAACACCCAGTAGTGATTGATTCAAGACTACTGCTTGGAGGTGAAAGGGAGGGGGGGTAGTATTAAGTACTCTTAGTATAAACCTATTCCATACAAATATATGTTTCCTCCTTGTTACTAAGACATAGTCTAGCTACAAAGACTACCATTGACATTGCTGTTGATTTTGTGATTTATACATGTCAGGGATTACTTGAGTAATCTATTTATTCCAAGTAACTTTGAAATTGATTGGAAATGTTTTGAATTTATCACGCCAGGACATACAAGCGGATCTCATTGTATCTATTATATTGAACTGTTTAACATCATCGAAATTACTCCAGACCCTTAGTAAATAAACATATGGGTATGCAATTGATCTTAATAGTTTATCCTGTAAAATGAATACTAGGTCAGAAAACAAAAACAAAATAATTGAACATGCATCGAGCTGTTTACCCTAGCCAAAAAATTTTCTTTTTTTTAATCATGGGAGAGAATGACAGTTAAACTTGTCGATTTTGAATGCCACTCGGACCAGCCAACAGTGTTCGGATTAGAAGGTGTTCACATCTTGATACACGTCCTGATACACAAAGCCTAGCATCACACACTTACTATGATGAAGATAATGCATATGAAGCTTTC